GAAATAAAGAACATCAGTAAAAGTAACTATATAGGTAAATTTACAAGTCAGTATGAATGTCTTTGGGCTTGTAACTGCCTTTTTTCCTATATGATTTTAAAAAATAACTACATAAAATAATGACTATAAATCAATCAAAAGGGAGCATAGACCTAAATGTAAAATCTAAAAGTATAAAACATCTAGAAAGAAATATAAGAAAATACTTTTGTGATCTAGGGTCAGACAAAGATTTTTTAGATATAGTGTCAAAAGCACAACTCATAAAAAATTTTAAAAATAAAATTTTGGACTTCATCAAAATTAAGAACTTCTACTTTTTTGTGTGTGTGAGGAAGACTGGCCCTGAGCTAACATCTGTTGCCAATCTTCCTCTTTTTGCTTGAGGAAGATTGTCCCTGAGCTAACACCTGTGCCAATCTTTCTCTATTTTGTATGTGGGACGCCGCCACAGCATGGCTTCATGAGCAGTGTGTAGGTCTGCACCCAGGATCCAAACCCGCAAACCCCAGGCCACCAAAGTGGAGTGCATGAACTTCACCCCTATGCCATTAGGCTGGCCCCAAGGACTTCCACTTTTTGAAAGACATCTTTAAGCAAATGATAAGACAAACCATAGACTGGGGGAAAATATTTACAAATCACACATATGATAAAGGTATTGTATTCAAAACATATGAAGAATTCTCAAAACGCAATAATAAAAAACCAAATTACCCAATAAAAAATGGGCAAGAGATTTGGAAATTTCACCATAGAAGATATATGGATGGCAAAAAGCACAGGAAAAGAAGCTCATTAGCATTAGCATTAGCAAAATGACATTAAAACAACAATCATATATTATTACTTTTAGGATTAAAATTTCAAAGGTTGACAATATCAAGTGTTGGTGAGTATATGGAGGAACTAGAACTCTCATACACTGCTGGTGAGGGTATAAAATGGTACAACTACATTGAAAGACACTTTGGCACTTTCTTAACAAGTTTAACACAAGCCTGCCATATGACCCAGCCATTCCACTCCAAGGTATTTACCTAAGAGGAATGAAAGTATGTGTCCATTCAAAGTACATTAATGTTCATAGCACCTTTATTCTTAATAGTCAAAAACAGGAAATAGCTGAAATGTCCATCAACATGTGAATGGACAGATAAGTTGTGATATATCCATACAACAGACTACTACTAAGTAATAAAATAATAACTATTAACATATACAACAACATGAATGGTCTCAAAATAATTATGCTGAGTGAAAGAAGCCAAACTAAAAAAAAAAAAGAGTGCCTACCTAAAAATACCACTTACTTAAAATTCTAGAGAATCCAAACTAATCTATAGTGACAGAAAGCAGATCAGTGGTTTCCTGGATATGAGGGAGCAGGGAGGGCTGGGAAAGAGGAATTACAAAATACCAAAAGGAAACTTGAGAGAATGATGGATATATTCTCATTATCCTGATTGTGATGATGGTTTCAGGGGTACGTATGTACGTCAACACATTAAATTGTATACTTGAAACATGTGTGGTTCATTGTATGTCAATTATAACCTATAAATATATAAATCTATTTAAAAACATAGCATTGAAGTGAAAGTGGCTGGGAACTTAGCATAGTACCTGCACAGTGAGAACTCCTAAGTATTTAGCTACTAGGAGTAGTAAGAGCAAAAACAATAATAGTGACAAAAAGAGTAAACCTTAAGTAAGGTCTCAGCTAGATATACTCTTCTGTTTATCTGGGCTTTGCTCCACCACTCCACCAAAATTGTTCTGATCAAGGTCACCTATGACTTTTAGGTTTGCTAAATCAAATAAACAACTCTCAGACATCATCTTAGTTAACATATCTGCATTTGACACGTATTATTTGCTCTCTCTGAAACACTTTCTTCACTTGCCACTTGTCTAATTCTCCTCCCATATTTCAGGCCAGTCTTTCACTGGCTCTCTGATGAGTGGAAGCCTGACCACCATTCCTTGGAGGGCTACAGGGCTCAGTCCTTGAAGTTCTTATCTTTTCTAACCACATTCACTCCCCAGGTGACCCCACCTAGTCTCCTAGGTCTAACACCAGCTGCTTGCTGAGGTCTCCAATTTTATATTTCCAACCCAGACCTCTCCCTCAGGCTCCAGAATACTTAGTCAACGTCACTACTTAGACATCTAATGGACAGCTAAACTCACCATGTCCAGTCTGAACACTTGTTCTTCCCCCATCCCATCAATGGAAACTCTACCTTGCATTTGCTCGGGCCAAGACTTTTAGAGTCATCCTTGATTCTTCTCTTTCTCTCACACCCATCCAATCTATCTGCAAACCTTGCTGCCTCTATCCTCAAAATATATCCAAATGTTGACTACTTCTCACTTCTCCTTGCCGCCCTTGAACAAGCTACCACCATAGCTTGCCTGGATTACTGCAACAGCCTCCTACCTGGCCTCTCTGTTTCTGCCTCTGCCTCCTTATGATCTGTTCAAAATATGAGAACCAGAATGAGCCTGTTAAAATGTAAGTTAGATCACCTCTCTGGTTTTGAACACAGAACACTGCAATCTTCCCATCTCACTCAGAGTACAAGCCAAGATCATTAGAAAGGTCTACAGAGTTCTACCCAATCAACCCTCCACCAGCCCCCCATTACCCAAATGATTGCATCCCTCACCTTTCACTCTGCTCCAATCACACTGGTAATTTAGTTCCTGGAACACATCAGTACTCTTGGCCTCAGGGCCTTGGCACATGCTGCCTGGAACATCTCCCCACCCCCAACCTCATATCTGTATAGCTCCCTCCTCCTCCTTCAGGTTCGACTCAAAAGTCAACTCAGTGAGGCCTCTTCTGGCCACACTTCCAAAAAATTTAGCCTTCTGCCTACTCCAATCCCAAAACTTTATACATTCCATTACTGCTCTTTTTCTCTCTACGCTTATAACCACATGACCTAATATATATTTACTTATCTAAGGTATTGTCTCTCTCCCCTACCGGAATGTAAACCCCACAAAGGCAGACATTTCTGTCTGGATTATTCACTACTGTATCCCCAGCATCTAGTACTTCGCACACAGCAGGGGCTACGTGCATTTGTAGCAAGAGTGGGAGAGGGGAAGAGAGAGAATGAATAAGCAGAGAAAACAAAGAACTATCTCTTGATGGTTTTCCGCTTGTGTTCATAAAGACTACACTAAACACCTCTTTTGAATGAAAGCCAGGACTTCCGTATCATACTCTTCTATCAGCAACAAAGTGGGAAGAGGCCTGGACTAGATATCGCAGACCGGGATTTTAGCTCTTGCTCTGAAACTAGCGACATGACCTTGGGCTCTTAATCTCACTGGGCCTCCGTTTCCCCATCTGTAAATGAGAGAATGAGAAGTGAAGATGCTGAACGGTACATCCAACAGTACGTTCTGTGACTCTGAGGCTCTGTGTCCTGGGATTCAACAGAAACAGGTAAGAAAAACGACTCTGTTAGGGAAGGTACTTCTTATATTTTAAATAGTAGATTTTTCTTAGTAGACAAGAACACAAGGATATGGTTAACTCACCAGCCTCCAGAGAAGAAATCAGCAGAGCTATGAAACAAACAAACCTCAGTAACACTTGCATATTCTCCTGGAGAAACAGAGGAATGGAAGAAAAACAAAAATAAAAATGTTACTATTCCAGAAAATCTCTAAAACTACATACACTAACTACCCACCTGCCCCACTCTCACCCCCAAGTCACACGGATGGGTTAATCTCCCTACATCATTAATGTGGTCATGCTTCTTCTGGATAGAAGATGGGGGAAGGGGATGAACATTTTTAACAGAATTGGGGACAAACTCAAACAACTTAAGATTAATAAAACTTCCATCATCTGTCCCACTATTCATCTCCAGTCTTGGATCCCATTTAAATTTTCCCAAAATCTAATCTATGCCACATCCAAATTAGACTACTCACTAGACCCTAAACCATCTTGCCTCTACTTATGTGGATTTGTCTCCCACCTGGAATGCACCCCACCACCAGGATCCACTTGTGGAAGTCTCCCCATACTTTTCGGTGCAGCTCAAGGTCACACTTTCACTTTATAAGGTAAGACACTAAATCACTTCTACAAAATGATATAGCTACATAGAAATGTACTAACAAAGACGAAAAGAAATAATAATAAATTAAAATTGGGTTGGTTTTTGTGGGTGGGTGGTTTTGCCCTTCTCCGGGGCTTTCCATCTAAAATTTCTACAATAAGCATGTATTAATCTTATCACCAAGAAAAAAATGAAAAGAAAACCTCCACAGCCCCTCTGAGTGGTTTAGGAAGGCCACACCAACGTGGCATCAGCCACAACAGGTATGAGGTCAGCGATCAGGCTGTGTATTAACTGAGGTCCTGGTAACATGTGGTTTTCATTAATAACACTGTGTCCATACTCACGGCGGGGTATGTCATCAGATTAGGCACTTGACTAATGCTGGAAGGAAAACACGCCCATTGCCTTATCTATAAAACCACATCACTAAAATAATTATCAATTAAATGTGAAAAAGGGGAAAAAATCGCTACTTTGCCTACCTTTCTAAACTTCTCAAGCCCAAATGAAGTTAATACTCAGTATAGCCTCTTCTCCTTTTTGAACGTCCCTGTTAGCTGCTCCTGAAGGGGGACGTTATAATTATGTGCAGTAAGTTCCAGCCCCGGATCTCCAGGGAACATCTGCACAAATCTGTTCACGGGCCTGTGGGTACCTCAAACTCAACAGGCCCCAAGCCCAACTCATTCGCTCCCACCAAACTTGCTCCCCACCTCACTGCAGGCACAGCATTGCCCCACACCGACCCCACGCCCACCCAACGAGACCTGGGCTCAACCACCCTGACGCTGCCACCCCCAGCCCTAACTAGTCTGTTTCCTTAGATCATCAAGTGGCCAGGGTCACTCACGCCCACCTCTTGACACCTCTTTAGCTCAAGCAGTCACCAGCTCCTGCCTGGATTCATTACGGCAACCTGCTCCTTTTTAGTCTCTCTGCCCATGGATTTACTGTTCCCCTTCAATCCAGAGAGCCTATGAACTCATAGTTAGCAAATAATCGTTTCACCTTCATTGGCTCCCCAGTGCACCAAAAAGGTCCAAACTCCTTAGCAAAAGCATACAGGTTCTTTGTGCTGAGGCTCTGCCTTACCGCTCCAGACTCAATCCCCCGCCTCCCACTCCTCCAGCACAGTCCATACAGTCAGCCCTCACCTTGCCCTGCTCTCCAGCCTCAGAGCCTCTGCCTTCACTATTCCCTCCTCCCTTCACCTCCCACATCCATCAGGTCAGCCCAGGTCTCCCTCCTCCCACCCTGCGCAGGGAGCCCCCAGCCCCGTTGCCTGGCTCGGCTTTCCTCCTCTGGACCCCCCAGCAACCTGTGTGTATGCCGGTCACAGCCCTTAGCACATTTTCCTGCAGTTACCCCAGGATAGGAAACCTCACGAGGGCGGGCACCAGGACTTGCTTATCCTGCACCCACGGTATCCAGCACTGTGCTGGGAACTCTGAAGCCCTTAATGAATTCTCGTGGAATGAATGAAAAGATGAACAAAAAAAATAGCTGTCCCCTCTACCTGACCTCAGGGGCAATGTCCAAGGTAGACCATGTAATTTCATGCTTTGAGAACATCTGTCCATTAATTCTCACAGGAGATGAAATTTTCCTATATTCTTATCTGAAGCTGTAACTACAAACATAAAATATTTTAACTAAGATATCACTAATTCAGACTCTAACGACATGTAATCATTTGAATATTAGCTGAAAAATGTTCTATTTAAGAAGTGGTATTAAAATGTATAATAAATGTCACACGTGCTTCTTAGGTAAATGCAGGGGAAAAAAGACTTTCTAAGCATGAGAGAGACCCCCATTCATAGTCTCCTCAGTCTACCCCCAGCATGAGGACAATGACCCCCAAGCCTGGTTCAAGCCTTGAAACCCACCTCAGAGCAGTAAGACTGCATTCCTTAAATATTCTGTAATTCTGACACTTTATTCACGTAAATTGGCCTCCCAAATTAGCCTAGATTAATAGATTATCATATTTATCTTTAAACTATATTCAAATTATTAAAATAAGATAGAAGGCTTTAAAGTCTTACAGCCTGGCTTATTACTCTTTCTGTAACTATGGAAGTATGTTTTAACTCTCTGTGATAGAGAAGAAGAAAATAAAGGGTTAAAATGTTTCCCAGTTACCATTTCCAGGCCAATCAGTGACTCAACGTTAGTTTATCAAAAGCAAAATAAAGGCACCGTGAAACCAACTGAACACTGCCTGTAAGTTCATCAGTTACAAGATCTGGCCTGTTTGATTACTAAGCAGAGGAGAAGAAAAGGAAGACGCCAGACTGAATTGTATACAGAGTGTATCTTGAGATATAATTCCAAATTAATTGTGGGGAAACAACGTTTAATCATTCCAAGTCCAGGGCTGGTGGCCTGCCACCACACGGCAGTGTGATCTTGGATGTGACTCTTCCCTGGGCCTCAGTTTCCTCATCTGTACAGGTGGGCGATGAGTTGGATGATCTCAGACCCCCTCCTGCCCTAACAGTCTATAAAACATGGGAGCCAAGCCCCAGGGACCCAGGGTTTACTTCGCCTGCCCCAGAACTGCTCTGGGAAAAAGCCACAGGGTGGGAGTGACCCCTTCCCCTCAGCAGAGGGCTTTCTGAGTCCATATCAGTCCCCAGGACCCTAGGGCAAGGGGTCCAGCTCCAGGCCATGGGATGGGAGGTAAGGGTCACATGACCTAAGAGAGGGAGGACAGTGGGAAGGAAGGAGGGAAAGATACATCCAAGACTCAAACTAAACTCGCTCCTGACGAAATCAGCGCAAACCTCACTATGCCCCGAAACCACAGAGAAATCCCAAGGGTGAAGCCAAACCGGACTAGCCTTCACATCACCAGTGGTGGAAAGGCTGGCCAAGACAGGAAGGCCCTCAACGACATCTGTGTTCTACTGCATGCCAGGCAGAGTGCTAGTGCCAGAGACAAAAGTAATAAAATAGTAAAATACAACAAGAACCTGCCCCTCGAGACGGCCACAATCTAGGCATTAACCTCATGTGAACACGAGACACGGCCCACAGCCCATCCATGACACACTGGGTAAAAGTTCAGCCTCGGTTCCCCGCCTGACAAAATTGGGATGATGATCACAGTAGCTGTGGGTGACGGCGGTGTGAGGATTAAATGAGCGGTCCCACGTGAAGGGCTTACAACATCGTCTGGCAAACGCTCACACTCAAATGTTAGCTGCTATAAACCACCCCAAGTTCGGATGACAAATATAAGTTTTGATAAAACGTTTTCAAATATCCCTTCATTTCTTTATTCCTTCACTGCCGAATTCAACAACTGTACACTGAATATCTACTACATGTCTGCATCCACATTTGGCTCTGGGAACAAACATAGGAATAATGACTCAGGGTCCGGCTCAAGGTGCTCATCAGCCAACAGGGAAAGTGGGCACGTCCACAGAGTTATACCGTGACGGGGGTGTGTCCACAGGGAGAGAAATGCCCAGGGCATGAGGGAAGACAGGGCCCTAACTCAGCCTGCAGGAGGGCTCCTGGATGAGGTGTGCCCGAACCTCATGGCTGGGAGGGGGTGGGGAGAAGGGGACGGCATGTTCTGGAGCATGAACCACGGGTGAGGTGCCAAGAGGCACAGGCGTAGAAGCTGAAAGTGCTCAGAACGTGAAGAGTCCTGCTGAGGAGTTGGGACTGCAATTTACAGGTGGCAAAAAAATCACTTAAAGGTTTTAAGCCACAGGGTGGGGTAAGATTGATTTTCATTTTCTTATAGAAATGTTGGCACCTGGATGAATAGAAACTGGAGACAAGAGGGGAGGCGGGGAGAGCAGGCTGCCACAGAGGGGATGTCCAGATGAGAGAGGATGCGGGCGTGAGTCAGCCAGCAGTGAGAGACAGACAGAAAGGGGGCATATCTGAGACCCACTCAGAGGCAAGTGAGAGAGGGGTGACTGAGCAGGTCTGGGCTGAGGTGGGGACCAGCATAAGGAGGGCAGGTTCCAGCACCCACAGACAGCCCGAGGAGATGCCCAGAGAGCATCACTCACAGCACCACTGGGCCTGGGTCTCCTGGGACTAGGTGAGCCGTGTTGCCTCCAACTGAAATTGAGAATTTGACTGTGAGGTGAAAGTTAAGTGAAATGGACAGCAGGGCATGGAATGTGCTGGAATTGGAGAGAGCTCAGACACTGAACTGGGAGCCATCATCACCCAGGTCACAACTGTAGCTAAGTTGACCCTGGGAAAGTGAGTGAGCAGGGGCTCTTAACAGGGTCACAGACCCCTTCAGAAATCTGAGAAAACCATGGAGCTGTCCCAAAGAGAAATGTGCCAACGAAAATAAAATATTTTTATATACAGTGGGAGATATTCCAGGACCACCTGAAACGGAGGCTGGTGGACTTCGGCTGTCAGGGAGAAAAGGCCAGCGGGCCCCTGGAGCGATCCAGCCCTGTTACCTCCGAGAAGGCCTTTTCTTGTACATAGTGGTCCTGCTTCTCAGGAGAGAATCACCGTCTTTAAGGGGTGCGTCTAGCCGGGGAAGGAAGGGCACACACGAGCGGAAGCTTGAATGAAGAAGCTTAAAGTCACCAACCGCTGCACACATCTCAAGAGGCGTCAAAAAAAAACCAAAACAAGCTTACAAAAATGAGTCATAAGTTTAAGGAGTAGATGTTCCACAGTGCTTTGAGACAACCACTTTAGAAAATGAAGTCACGGGAGCGAGGAATCCAAAGAGGCCAACATCACCCGCTCTTGTTGATGGAACACCCACACCTGGCACTTTGCTAGACACGGGGATACAGCCGTGAATCAGACCACCTCTGGGGAGCTCACGGCTTAATGCTCTTGGAGAATACAGCTCAGAGAAATGTACCATATGCCAGAAAAAAATGAACAGGCCCTTTCTAAGTACAGGCACACTCTCTGAGTCCTTCTCTTCCTTACACTAAGCATATTAAGATACCTGCATTCCAAATTATATAATTTGAAATAACTTCACAAAAGCTGAGCTGTGACTGCCGTGCCATTATGTCCTGCAGACAGTTCACCATTCATCCCCTGGTTTTGCAGTTTACTTTTAGTATTTTGGAGTCTAATTTTTTTCATGCCTGAATCATTTCCTTAGGCCTTTGAAAAGCTTGTAAGGCCTAAGCATAAAGTCTTTTAATGCCCAATCAATAAAACAGCCTGACTAATTGAATGCCAAGCATTTTGCTTGGACTAAGTGTACTAAATACCACCTTATTATTCACTTTAGCCTTAAGTACACAGCATGACCTTATGGTGTCAGAAGCACAGTGGCTTAACAACACGAATCATAACATAGCACAGAATCAAAGAGAAGACCCGCTGGTCTTCCTGTTCCCAGCCCCAGCACAGTGCTGTCCCAACCTCCATCAGTGTGGCCCAGAAATGACTGTAGCTGATGGGAATCACATGGAGAATGTCAGAGAAATTAACAGAGTGGGGCAGGGGGAGAAGCACAGGCAAGAGGGATGAATTTATTTGGAAGGCCTAGGAAACCTTTTGCAGAGGAGTTGACTCCCCACGTCCCCCTAACTACTTCACCTTCCCTCTTCCTCTTTGCCCCAGAAACTTCTTAGAAGAATTCACTTTTAATTCTCAAAGAATTTTATATTCACTGCCTCCACTTCCCATCCACTGCTGAACGGCCCCACAGGCTACCTCGTAGGCCCACTGCTCCTCTGAATGCATTGCCTATGCCACCATGAGCCCCTAGTTCCTCAGTGCAAAGAGCCCCTCGGTCTCCATCTGACTGGACATCTCAGCAGCACCAGGCCCTACTCCACCCCTCCTTCCTGACTCCCTGGGCTGAGGGCCACCCCACCCCGCTCTCCTGCCTTCACCTTCCTGCCTGCTCTTTCCCTCGCAGGCTTGTCTCCTTGCACACCTGTAAGCACTGTACCATTCTGCCTCCCTGGAGCCTCTATGGTGCTTCTGGGACTGTCATTCAGTTCGACCGTGCCTAGTCGGCCGGCTTCTTCTGTGACTTCTGACCAGCTCTGAGCAGATTCTGATCAGAAGCCTCTCCCAGGGGCCCCTAGCAGACACCTCTTCACAGGCAGGAGTGACAAGCCACATAGGTTTTCCCTGGCACAGTGCACCGGGTGCCTCAGACTTCTGGCTCTGGGACCAGGGCTCTGGCGGCACTGGGTGGCTCCCCTGGTTGCTGGCCTTCCTAACCTGGGCCAGGGGAGAGGGCAGTACAGAGCAGACCCTCCCTGCTCCCATACTCCTGTGAGGTGCGCCCCATCCCATACATCTTGCACGTGGTAAGAGCTCAATAAATACTTGTGGAAGAAAGGAAGGAAGGGAGGAGAGAGAGAGGAAAGGAAGGAATCCACCCACCCACCATCTTTGCCTTAGACTACATAGGAACAAAGACCTGGCCTAGAATCAAGGCAGGGAGGATGGAATACGGGTAATGCATGCGGGGCAGAGAATGAAAACGCCAGGGGAACCAGTATCAGGGTCTGGAGATGGCCAGGAATTATACTGGGGAAAGCAGAGCCCTACCTGCAGGGTCAGACAAAGGGCTCATCCCCGGGAGGCCGGGGTGACCCTGCGGAGAGAGCAGCAGGAGCAGGACTGGAGACGGAGAACTGCTAAGGCCAGAAGGAGACCCGGGAAAACAGACCTCCCCGATTCAGAGGCAACACAGCAAAGCCCACCGTGATCTTTAAAAGTGATTTACAGTAAAATTCAAAATACACTTTTAGAAAATATCAACAACAATAAAAAGTCACAGATTTATTCCACTGTGTTATTTTTCGGATTAATTTTCCACATAAAATATTAAGTTGGGGGAGGATTAACTCCCCCAATAAATTAACAAGCCCTGACACACTGTTCCCCGTCCACCCTTAGGCGCAGTGACACCTATGTCACGTATGAAGTTCCCAGGCTTGCGACCAGTACCCTCCCGATAGCAGCTTCCAGCTGGCGTGCAGAGGCGGCGGTGCACTGAGGTACTGATGCCCAGCCGGGGGCAGTCAGCCGGGGTCTGGGGCGACCAGATGCCCCAGCTGGTCACCTTTACCTCCAGCAGCCTGGTCTGTTCACTGCAGTTCAGTGGTGTGAAAACAGGAGGCACAGCTTTCTATGACAATCACATGAAAAAGCTAGCCATTGTGAACTTCCCAAATACAGTTCCCATCACTTTCTAGTGATCACAACAGATTTGGCAACACAGGTATATCACAACATGACTATGCGGCACACGGAACTGACATACGAAACTACTTGTTTATTAAAGATAAAATGAAAGTGCATATTGGACGCATGAAGCAATTTCCTACTAGATGCAGAATGAGAAACTTCAGTGTGAATTAAATGACAGAAGCAGAGATTAAGTATAAGAACTAACAATGAACATACAGGCCCCCAACAAAAGCCCCTCTTCCAGGAAGACAGACCTCACAGTGCCGTCCTGTCACTCTGCAAGAGATTCCACACTCAGTGCAGCCACAGGAAAAGTGACAGCTAGGGGACAAAGGGGCTGTCACAAGAGCCCAGGCGGCTTCCTCAAGGCCCAGGGCCCCAGTGCAGGGGGAACGGGCACGTGTTCCAACTTTGTGGCCACATCACATCTATTAATGCCTTTTATTCTTGAGGAATTTCCCACAATCTTGAGGAATTTCCTTCCTGTTCCTGAGGAATTCCCCCACATTGTGAATCTTACCTTCCAGGACAGAAGCCAGGCATCAGACACAATCCAGACATGAAGACACACGCGCCTTGTGGGTCCACCTCTGGGGAGAGCACCAGCCCCAGGCACTGGGGGCGGCGTCTGAGCACGGACTGCACTATCCACACAGCACCTGCACAGAGCAGTGCCCCAGTGTGGCTCATTTCCAAATTATGTTTCTAAATTTGTTTCTATCTAAATTAACCTCCAAGCCTGACTCCCAGCCCGCCCCCAGCTCCATCCCATATTGTGAGGGGCCCTGAGCGTGCACACAGGTAGACATCCCCTCCATACAGCCCTGGCCACTCCACAGACCAGGCAGGCACTCTAGCAGTGGAGTGAATAGGGGACGACCCAGGAAAGAGGCCTGCATAGGCCCTGGAATCAGAGTCGAGGCTGTATGGGCAGGGAATTCTGAGGGTCCCGGGTACCTGGATCACAGTCAAGAGGGAGGAGCTGGTGGGCACAGGTTCCAAGCAGGCATATCCTCTTGGGCCTCCAGACCAAGGCATGTGGAGTGCGGCCCAGGCATGTGGCTGGCTGAGAAGCAGAGCAGAACCCTCCAAAGTACGGGGCCTGGGTAGACCTCTCCTGCCTGAGTCTAAGAGAAGTTGTGCAGCCGCCAAACCTCTGCAGGAACCCAAGAAGAGAGAGAAGACGGCACTAGGTGACTCCTCCTTCTTCCAGGAACCTGAAGTAGCAGAGCCCCAGATCTGAAATTTAAAAGGAAATCCTAACGGTACTTTCCACATTTCCATCTCACACCAGCTCACTCTTCACATTGATACCTCATAAACACACACACAGCATCATTTAATACAACTTCTCATCCCAAACATTAATCAATGTGTGTCTATATGTATATCTGACATAATGGAGAGAGATTCAGAGTATTAAGCTCCAACTCATGGACTGTAAGTGAGAAGAACCTGTGGATGAGTCCTTGGAAAAAGCAAGGACGAAAGTAGGTTTTTTAGGTCATCAAATGTTACAACCTCCACGTTCTATTGAAAACCAGTGGAAACACGTATAAGGAATGGGTTATGGTATTAAAACAAAGCCCATAATTATGATCTTCACCTGTCACAAGGATTCAAACAGTTATTAAACAGTCTCCAATATTGTTAAGACCAAAAATGTCAGTTTTAAAGACAAGCCATAAAGGAACTTACTTATAAAGCCATAGAACCACATGAATGCGGAAAACACTTCAGAATTCTGCACTTACACAAGTCTTTGTTTCTCAAACTAGAATCCTCAAATCTCCAAAGAGAATCTGCAGACAGCTAGGGAACTCAGAGTCTATCTTCCTGGGGCACTGATTTTACTCAAAGATTTTCTGGTGGGATTTATTTTTATATTAGAGAAAACATGGCTATATTATGAAACGGAAAGAAAAATCTCCAAGAGATAAAAAACATGAGGCATCCAGGAACTAGCCCCTAGGGTGAGCTACTTTGGAGTGCGGGGTGGAGCACTGACTTTTCATTTCCCAAGAGGAGTCTTTTGACGGTGAAGTCTGAGCGGCACTGCCCTACATTAACACCCACAGTCATCTCTATTCAGTCCCAATCAGGAGAAATGGAAACATCAGGGCTCCACAAACTCAGACCCACGGGGCCAGGCATACAGAGCAACCTAACCCTACTACAGAGGAGCCCCCAGGATGGTTCCACACTTGAGACATGGAAGGAAAACATGGAAG